AAATTAACGAATTTTTCTCAATTTTCTTCGTATTTTCCTCATTTTTTGACCGATTTTCTCGCTTTTTTTTTTGTTTTTTCCCAATTTCCTCGGATTTCGCCCCAAAATCTCAGCCTTGACAACTCCAGCCCCCTGACTGTGACATCACCCTATCGATTGATGATGTCATAGTACCAAATAATGGAATTTTCTCCTTTTTTTTGTATTTTCCTCATTTTTTGACCGATTTTCTCGCTTTTTTTTTTGTTTTTTCCCAATTTCCATGGATTTCACCCCAAAATCTCAGCCTTGACAACTCCAACCCCCTGAGTGTGACACCACCCTGTGGATTGATGACATCATCATGAAAATTAATGAATTTTTCTCCGTTTTTCTTCATATTTTCCTCATTTTTTCACCGATTTTCTCGCTTTTTTTTTGTTTTTCCCCTTTTTTCCCCATTTTTTCCCATTTTTTTGGGAATTTTGGGATTTTTTTTCTGGACCTTGTGACCAAGTATGACATCATCACATCAATTATGACATCATCACGCAAATTAACAAATTTTTCTCAATTTTTCCATATTTTCGTCATTTTTTAACCGATTTTCTCCCTTTTTTTTTGTTTTTTCCCGTTTTTTCCCAATTTCTCTGGATTTCACCCCAAAATCTCAGCCGTGACAACTCCAACACCCCAAATATGACATCATCACATCAATTATGACGTCATAATGTCCAATAATGTCATTTTCTCCATTTTTCTTCGTATTTTTCTCATTTTTTCACCGTTTTTTCTCATTTTTTCACCATTTTTTTTTACTTTTTTCCCATTTTTTGGGGAATTTTGGGATTTTTATCCCGGACCAATTACCAAGTGTGACATCACCGTGTCGATTGATGACGTCATAGTTCCAAAAAATGTCATTTTTTTCCATTTTTTTCCATATTTTCGTCATTTTTTAACCGATTTTCTCGCTTTTTTTTTTGTTTTTTCCCAATTTCTCTGGATTTCACCCCAAAATCTCAGCCGTGAGACGTACAACGCGCTGGCGCAGTGGCTGACGGACGCTCGGACCTTGGCCAGCCCCAACATCGTCATCATCCTCTGCGGCAACAAAAAGGACCTGGAGGGCGAGAGGGAGGTGACGTTCCTGGAGGCGTCGAGGTTCGCACAGGAAAATGGTGAGAAAAAACGGGAAAACGGGAAAATTTGGGAAAATCTGAAAAGATTTGGGGGAAAAATAAAAAAAAAATGGTGAAAAACGGTGGAAAAATGAGGAAAATATGATGAAAAATGGGGAAAAAATGACGAAAAAATGGGAAAAAAGTGAAGGAAAATAATGGGGAAAATAATTGGGGAAAAATGGGAAAAATAGGGAAAAAATGGGAAAAATAATGGGAGAAAAATGGAAAAAAATGGGGAAAAATCACCAAAAAATCACCAAAAAATCACCAAAAAATGGTGAAAAATGAGGGCAAAAGGACCTGGAGGGGGAGAGGGAGGTGACGTTCCTGGAGGCGTCGAGGTTCGCACAGGAAAATGGTGAGAAAAACGGGGAAAATGGGAAAAAATGATGAACAATGGTGAAAAAACGGTGAAAATCGGTGAAAAAATGGCGAAAATACGGCGAAAAAACGATGAAAAATGGGGGAAAAATGAAGAAAATAATGGGAGAATAATTGGGGAAAAAATGGGGGAAAAATGGGAATTTTGGGGATTTTTCCTGGAATTTTGCACTTCCAGTAGAAATTTTGGGAAAAAAATTCTGATTTTTTTCATGAAAAATTTGCATTTTTTTGTGAAAATTTCGCGGTTTTTCCCAGATTTTTTTTTTTGTTTTTTTTCCCGGGAAAATTCCCAATGAAAATTTGGGAATTCTCAATGGAATTTTGCGTAAAAATTTGGGATTTCCAGTAGAAATTTTGGAATTTTTTTGGTGAAAATGTGATGGGTTTTGGTCAAAATTTTGCATTTTTTGGTCAAAATTTCGCATTTTTTCATGGGAATTTCGGGAGTTTTTCCCGGGAAAATTCCCGATGGAATTTGGGAATTCCCGATGGAATTTTGGGGAAAAAATTTGGATTTTTTAATGAAAAATTTGTGATTTTTTGTGAAAATTTTGCATTTTTTCATGAAAAATTCGCGTTTTTTGGTCCAAATTTCGCATTTTTTCCCGGAATTTTTTTTGGTTTTTTCCCAGGAAATTTTCTGATGGAATTTTGGGAATTTTGGGTTTAAATTTGGGAATTTTGGGTTGACAGAGTTGATGTTTTTGGAGACGAGCGCTCTGACGGGGGAGAACGTGGAGGAGG